CAGGTCAGTCCCTCTCCCTCACCTCCTGTGTGTCTCTTGGTCAGGTCAGCCCCTCTCCCTCACCTCCTGTGTGTCTCTAGGTCAGGTCAGCCCCTCTCCCTCACCTCCTGTGTGTCTCTTGGTCAGGTCAGCCCCTCTCCCTCACCTCCTGTGTGTCTCTTGGTCAGGTCAGCCCTCTCCCTCACCTCCTGTGTGTCTCTTGGTCAGGTCAGCCCCTCTCCCTCACCTCCTGTGTGTCTCTTGGTCAGGTCAGCCCTCTCCCTCACCTCCTGTGTGTCTCTTGGTCAGGTCAGCCCTCTCCCTCACCTCCTGTGTGTCTCTTGGTCAGGTCAGCCCCTCTCCCTCACCTCCTGTGTGTCTCTTGGTCAGGTCAGCCCCTCTCCCTCACCTCCTGTGTGTCTCTTGGTCAGGTCAGTCCCTCTCCCTCACCTCCTGTGTGTCTCTTGGTCAGGTCAGTCCCTCTCCCTCACCTCCTGTGTGTCTCTTGGTCAGGTCAGTCCCTCTCCCTCACCTCCTGTGTGTCTCTTGGTCAGGTCAGCCCCTCTCCCTCACCTCCTGTGTGTCTCTTGGTCAGGTCAGTCCCTCTCCCTCACCTCCTGTGTGTCTCTTGGTCAGGTCAGCCCCTCTCCCTCACCTCCTGTGTGTCTCTTGGTCAGGTCAGCCCTCTCCCTCACCTCCTGTGTGTCTCTTGGTCAGGCCAGCCCCTCTCCCTCACCTCCTGTGTGTCTCTTGGTCAGGTCAGCCCCTCTCCCTCACCTCCTGTGTGTCTCTAGGTCAGGTCAGCCCCTCTCCCTCACCTCCTGTGTGTCTCTTGGTCAGGTCAGCCCCTCTCCCTCACCTCCTGTGTGTCTCTTGGTCAGGTCAGCCCCGCTCCCTCACCTCCTGTGTGTCTCTTGGTCAGGTCAGTCCCTCTCCCTCACCTCCTGTGTGTCTCTTGGTCAAGACAGTCCTGCTCCCTCACCTCCTGTGTGTCTCTTGGTCAGGCCAGCCCCTCTCCCTCACCTCCTGTGTGTCTCTTGGTCAGGTCAGTCCCTCTCCCTCACCTCCTGTGTGTCTCTTGGTCAGGTCAGCCCCTCTCCCTCACCTCCTGTGTGTCTCTTGGTCAGGTCAGCCCCTCTCCCTCACCTCCTGTGTGTCTCTTGGTCAGGTCAGCCCCTCTCCCTCACCTCCTGTGTGTCTCTTGGTCAGGTCAGCCCTCTCCCTCACCTCCTGTGTGTCTCTTGGTCAGGTCAGTCCCTCTCCCTCACCTCCTGTGTGTCTCTTGGTCAGGTCAGCCCCTCTCCCTCACCTCCTGTGTGTCTCTTGGTCAGGTCAGCCCCTCTCCCTCACCTCCTGTGTGTCTCTTGGTCAGGTCAGCCCCTCTCCCTCACCTCCTGTGTGTCTCTTGGTCAGGTCAGCCCCTCTCCCTCACCTCCTGTGTGTCTCTTGGTCAGGTCAGCCCCTCTCCCTCACCTCCTGTGTGTCTCTTGGTCAGGTCAGCCCCTCTCCCTCACCTCCTGTGTGTCTCTTGGTCAGGTCAGCCCCTCTCCCTCACCTCCTGTGTGTCTCTTGGTCAGGTCAGTCCCTCTCCCTCACCTCCTGTGTGTCTCTTGGTCAGGTCAGCCCCTCTCCCTCACCTCCTGTGTGTCTCTTGGTCAGGTCAGCCCCTCTCCCTCACCTCCTGTGTGTCTCTTGGTCAGGTCAGCCCCTCTCCCTCACCTCCTGTGTGTCTCTAGGTCAGGTCAGCCCCTCTCCCTCACCTCCTGTGTGTCTCTTGGTCAGGTCAGCCCTCTCCCTCACCTCCTGTGTGTCTCTTGGTCAGGCCAGCCCCTCTCCCTCACCTCCTGTGTGTCTCTTGGTCAGGTCAGCCCCTCTCCCTCACCTCCTGTGTGTCTCTTGGTCAGGCCAGCCCCTCTCCCTCACCTCCTGTGTGTCTCTTGGTCAGGTCAGTCCCTCTCCCTCACCTCCTGTGTGTCTCTATGTCAGGTCAGCCCCTCTCCCTCACCTCCTGTGTGTCTCTTTGTGAGGTCAGCCCCTCTCCCTCACCTCCTGTGTGTCTCTTGGTCAGGTCAGCCCCTCTCCCTCACCTCCTGTGTGTCTCTTGGTCAGGACAGCCCCTCTCCCTCACCTCCTGTGTGTCTCTTGGTCAGGTCAGCCCCTCTCCCTCACCTCCTGTGTGTCTCTTGGTCAGGTCAGCCCCTCTCCCTCACCTCCTGTGTGTCTCTTGGTCAGGTCAGTCCCTCTCCCTCACCTCCTGTGTGTCTCTTGGTCAGGTCAGCCCCTCTCCCTCACCTCCTGTGTGTCTCTTGGTCAGGTCAGTCCCTCTCCCTCACCTCCTGTGTGTCTCTTGGTCAGGTCAGTCCCTCTCCCTCACCTCCTGTGTGTCTCTTGGTCAGGTCAGTCCCTCTCCCTCACCTCCTGTGTGTCTCTTGGTCAGGCAGTCCTCTCCCTCACCTCCTGTGTGTCTCTTGGTCAGGTCAGTCCCTCTCCCTCACCTCCTGTGTGTCTCTTGGTCAGGTCAGTCCCTCTCCCTCACCTCCTGTGTGTCTCTTGGTCAGGTCAGCCCCTCTCCCTCACCTCCTGTGTGTCTCTTGGTCAGGTCAGCCCCTCTCCCTCACCTCCTGTGTGTCTCTTGGTCAGGTCAGCCCCTCTCCCTCACCTCCTGTGTGTCTCTTGGTCAGGTCAGCCCCTCTCCCTCACCTCCTGTGTGTCTCTAGGTCAGGTCAGCCCCTCTCCCTCACCTCCTGTGTGTCTCTAGGTCAGGTCAGCCCCTCTCCCTCACCTCCTGTGTGTCTCTTGGTCAGGCCAGCCCCTCTCCCTCACCTCCTGTGTGTCTCTAGGTCAGGTCAGCCCCTCTCCCTCACCTCCTGTGTGTCTCTTGGTCAGGTCAGTCCCTCTCCCTCACCTCCTGTGTGTCTCTTGGTCAGGTCAGTCCCTCTCCCTCACCTCCTGTGTGTCTCTTGGTCAGGTCAGTCCCTCTCCCTCACCTCCTGTGTGTCTCTTGGTCAGGTCAGCCCTCTCCCTCACCTCCTGTGTGTCTCTTGGTCAGGCCAGCCCCTCTCCCTCACCTCCTGTGTGTCTCTTGGTCAGGTCAGCCCCTCTCCCTCACCTCCTGTGTGTCTCTTGGTCAGGTCAGCCCCTCTCCCTCACCTCCTGTGTGTCTCTTGGTCAGGTCAGCCCCTCTCCCTCACCTCCTGTGTGTCTCTTGGTCAGGTCAGCCCCTCTCCCTCACCTCCTGTGTGTCTCTTGGTCAGGTCAGTCCCTCTCCCTCACCTCCTGTGTGTCTCTTGGTCAGGTCAGCCCCTCTCCCTCACCTCCTGTGTGTCTCTTGGTCAGGTCAGCCCCTCTCCCTCACCTCCTGTGTGTCTCTTGGTCAAGACAGTCCTGCTCCCTCACCTCCTGTGTGTCTCTTGGTCAGGTCAGCCCCTCTCCCTCACCTCCTGTGTGTCTCTTGGTCAGGTCAGCCCCTCTCCCTCACCTCCTGTGTGTCTCTTGGTCAGGTCAGCCCCTCTCCCTCACCTCCTGTGTGTCTCTTGGTCAGGCAGCCCTCTCCCTCACCTCCTGTGTGTCTCTTGGTCAGGTCAGTCCCTCTCCCTCACCTCCTGTGTGTCTCTTGGTCAGGCCAGCCCCTCTCCCTCACCTCCTGTGTGTCTCTTGGTCAGGTCAGTCCCTCTCCCTCACCTCCTGTGTGTCTCTTGGTCAGGTCAGTCCCTCTCCCTCACCTCCTGTGTGTCTCTTGGTCAGGTCAGCCCCTCTCCCTCACCTCCTGTGTGTCTCTTGGTCAGGTCAGTCCCTCTCCCTCACCTCCTGTGTGTCTCTTTGTGAGGTCAGCCCCTCTCCCTCACCTCCTGTGTGTCTCTTGGTCAGGCCAGCCCCTCTCCCTCACCTCCTGTGTGTCTCTTGGTCAGGTCAGCCCCTCTCCCTCACCTCCTGTGTGTCTCTTGGTCAGGCCAGCCCCTCTCCCTCACCTCCTGTGTGTCTCTAGGTCAGGTCAGCCCCTCTCCCTCACCTCCTGTGTGTCTCTAGGTCAGGTCAGCCCCTCTCCCTCACCTCCTGTGTGTCTCTAGGTCAGGTCAGTCCCTCTCCCTCACCTCCTGTGTGTCTCTTAGTCAGGCCAGCCCCTCTCCCTCACCTCCTGTGTGTCTCTAGGTCAGGTCAGCCCCTCTCCCTCACCTCCTGTGTGTCTCTTGGTCAGGTCAGTCCCTCTCCCTCACCTGTGTGTCTCGTGGTCAGGCCAGTCCTGCTACCTCACCTCCTGTGTGTCTCTTAGTCAGGCCAGCCCCTCTCCCTCACCTCCTGTGCGTCAAGGGCCTGGGATCTGGCAGACTCAGGTGTGAACTGCCTGTAGCCGTCTGTTCCATTTCCTCTTCACCTGCTGTTCTTACAGCCTCAGTAATTTTATATTGAAGACTAAATACTGTATTCTGAAAGTGGACCAGTGGACTTTCTATTTTTCGTAACCCCCTTTTCTTTTTATACCTTGTCGTCTCATTTTCATCTTGCTTCTGTACCCCTTGGCATTGCCAGGCATCCTAGTCCTGTTGACTTTCTGTGGGGGAAACCATCCATGGTAATGCACTCCCCCTTCTTAGCATTCTGGATAGCCATCCTGGTGGTCAGGAGCACCTGGTAGTGTCCTTCCCAGCTCCATTGAAGCTTCTCTTCTCTCAGGTCTTAAGGTCTTGATTAAACCAAGTAGTTGAGCGGCAATCTATCGATTGCAAACTCCAGAGGAGGAGTCTCAGAAAGGAGTCCCTTTACCCAAGAGATGATAAAGTGGAGGATATGGCCAGCACATATTCTCTTAAAAACTGGTCTTTAGTTTCCTTGGTGGGGAATTCTGCAGTTTTTCCCAAACAAGGGAGCCCACATAGTAGCTCCTAATAAGTGTCAGGGCTAGATAGTCATACCAGCAAACAAACAAAGACAAAACAACAATAAAACCTCGAAACACAGATCAAATCCTCCTATTAGGACGTTAGGAAGATCTGTAGGTCTCTAATTGATTCAAAACCAACGTGTGACTGCTCATTTTGATATTTATCAGGCACTCCTGTGTAAAGACCCTTCCTTCCCAACCTTGCAGTTTCACTGATTTGGGGAGGACTGACACAAATGTGCACCTCAAGTTACCTTAAAGAGACCATGCCTTTTCCTAATGTCCATGTGTGGCTGTGCTTTGGCCACACTCTGTCACCACATGCTTAATACCAAGTTGGTCAAAACTGACCCTGTTCCTACCTCTGTTGGGGTCAGCTGAGATTCCTCAGAGATCCTTCTTGGGAACACTTGAAGTCGGAGTACTGGATTTCAACCTGCATATCTATAGTTTTGTTGTCGCCCCTTCCATTTAATTGGGGTCAGTATTAGCCCTGGAATTCAGCCTTGTGTTCTTTCTGTCCTATAGGTGATGGCTTATTGTCTCAGATACACTCAGGTTGTTCTGATAGAAGCAGTGTTCTGCAAAACACAAAGAGGTAATAAAGTTTTACAAGGAAAATACAAAATGAAGTTAACAAGAGCTAATCTCAGCAGCTTGGGAGACTGAGGCAGGAGATCTCAAGTTCAAAGCCAGCCTCAGCAAAAGCAAATCCCTAAGCAACTCAATGAGACCCTGTCTCTAAATAAAATACAAAATAGGGCTGGGGACATGGCTCAGTGGTTGAGGTTCCTCTGAGTTCAATCCTTGATACCAAAAATAAGTAAATAAAGTTAACAAGAGGAAAAACATATTTGGTTTATATAATAGCTTTGAACCAAGAAACATAATCTCTAAAACTGCACTAATATATATTTAATATCTATTTTGCCTCCACAAAGATTCATAACTTTATCAACTCAATCACATATAAGAAACCTTACAAATTTTACTTTCTTTTAAAACTCTTTTACAATCTTAAATTACTTTTATTTTTTTAAAATTTTTATTTTTTTAGTTGTATGTGGTGCTGAGGATCGAACCCAGTTCCTCACGCATGTGAGGCAAGCACTCAGCCACTGAGCTACAACCCTAGCCCCCCTTAAATTACTTTTATAATTTTCCCAAACTTTACTTAGTTTTTTATTATATCCCTTGTTTACTTTGAGATCACAGTGATCTGTACAACAAGAACCTATCTTTGGAACACACCTTTAAATGAGCTTAAGCCCAGTCCACTTTGGGGTCATCCTGACATGAAGTAGGGCGGAAGGCAGAGCTTTCTCTCAGGGAAGGCGAGGCTCTGGACAAATCTTAGGTAAAGTGTCTATTTCTCAAGCTGATCTTTGCCTCTTTTTAAAATATATTTTACAAAGTTCTCATATGATATTTCCCGGATCTGTGTGAATGTGAGTGAACACAACACAGCATCACATCTGCAACATGAATTAAAAGCTAGAAGAGCTCTTCACGTTCTATTTGTGGACAACGTGGCAAAGAATTTCCATGATGCATATTGCCAATCTTTAAACAATCATGATCTCCTTATTACCTTCCAAAAATACAATAAATCCCACCCAGTGTAACCTAATGGATATAAAAAATTATCTTGATAGATAAAAATAGATCAATGTTTTAGACTTTGTTTTATATCAGTGCATTAAAATCCGACCTTAGAAAACCCTTTAAATAATTTTTACTGACCATATTAATTACCGACTGAACTAATCATAGCCAACTTAATCACCCATACAAACTTTTGGAGATTTACTTTCCACAAACATTCTGCAATCTACTTAGACATTCTACAATTTGTTTACAACCTTAGGTTTTGGTTTTTTTTTAAGTTGTTGAGGTACTTTATTTTTTATTTATTTATATGCTGAGAATTGAACCCAGGGCCTCATACATGCTCGGCAAGTGCTCTGCCACTGAGCCACAACTCCAGCCCGATATGACCTTAGTGTTAGTTTTTCCTTTATCTTGGACTATCACACAAAAATGTTACTTTATCATACAAATTACTTTCTCATCCAAAAACATTTTTTCTTTCTAATTTTTCATATTAAATACATTTTATATCAATAATTTCCTTATATCTCTCTCTTTAGACTGGTGTTCACGGGCAGCAGAGTGTGCGGGGCCTGGCCCCCTGCCCACCAGCAGAGTTCTCAGAAGATCCTGGGACCAGATCCACAGAGATGGGCATCTAGGGGGTCCTGTGGGTGCTGATCTAATCTCCCCAGAGCAGACACCGCCCAGCAGAGCCCCTGAGGCCTGATGAGACCTTAGCCCCACCTGCTGGAACTCCCCACAGGACTCTGCCGCAGCCACCCCCTGGGACAGACGCCAACCAACAGGACTTCCCACTGCAGCCCACCCGCACCGGGAGGGGGGACACCCAGAGCTCCCTTACCCCGTCCGTCCAGCCACTCCAGCCCGCAGCTCCGCGAGCCACACGGGAGAGCAAGCGGTTAGCAACCCCAGCCTGCTCTCTTCCAGCCCATGGCCCAAGAAAAGATGGCAGAAAGGACAGCGGGGCACAGCAGTGACGTCACCCTTGTCAGCTGTTCTGACCTCCTCAGTGGAGACAGCTCTTTCACTTTTCATTAAGAATATTTTTTTCCTCCTTTTTCCTTTGTGGTGACTCTTGCTGTGCTGCATGGTTTGTGGATGTGTGTGTGTGTGTGTGTGTGTGTGTGTGTGTCTTTTTTCTCCTTTTTAGCATTCTTTGTGACAATTATTCTCCCTCACCGTGTCTTTGAGGGTCAGGGTGTGTGGTTTGTTTACTTTGGGTTTGTTGTTTTCTCTTGGTCTCTTTTATTCTCCCTTAACATCCATATTCTCTGTTCTCTCCTTCTCCCTTTACTTTTTTTTTCTATTTTTCCTCCTCCTTTTCAAGAACCATCACTTTATCTCTTCAGCTTTTCTCTGTTCACATTTTGAACATTCTAAACTTTCTTCAACCTTCCTATCACACTTTTTTCTCTCAATGAGCTGTATTTTCACCATCTTTTGGCCTATCTAGTTTATAGGATTGTGCCCCTGCCATTTATGTTGCTGCAGTTATCAGTACTGACACCTGCTGATTTATGCCAGATCTAGTTAACAATTACTCATTGTTCTTGCTGTTGGCAATCACTGGCCCCATGGTTCCCATTTCTGTGGTAATTCGTGTTCTAGATGTCATAACAGACAAGGGTTTTATTTGAATGCTGTATTTGTTGCTTGGGTTGTTGCTATTGTTTCTCTGTGAGGTGATAAAAATCTACAGGGACACTACAAGCTCACAGATTAGAGATTTTGCTGCTGAACCAAACCCAGCCAAAATATAGTGTACCTCATTTCACACACAGATTAATCACACTTAAACTTCAAGTATGCTTTAATACAAAGAATAGAACAGACAAAGACCCAAAACTAATGGCCAGGCCCCAAGTGAGAATGACATGACTGGCAGTGGGGGGTACCTCAGATCCCATGGATCTACCATGCGGCCTGTGCAATGGTTTCATTAATGAGGTTCTTGGCATAAAGTTAGTTAGAAGAGATCGAAATAAAACACACAGACTCAGTTACCTTATTTCTATTGCCAGGTCCAAGACGGCTCCCCTCTCTGGCTCCAACCTCTAACTGCCCAGCAGGGCAGCAAGGATTACTCAGGGCTAGCAGGAGAGAGAGAGAGTGAACACGCCAGGGAGTAGCCTTTTATTGGGGAACAAGAAATTCAAGGGATAATTCCATCCAATGAAGGTTGAGGGGGGACTGCACTCCAAGGTCAGGGTCAGTGATTGGGCCCCTGGGGTCAGTGGTCAGTCACACCCCTACATGGACGGGTTCTCTCATCAGGAAAGGGCCGGGAAAATTCCGACACAGCCAGAAGCCTCAGACCCTTAACAGGAGCCGCCCAGTCACGTGTCAGGATGGCTTCCCACACATGGACATCTTTTCCTACAGTAAAGTCAGAACTAACATCAAGGCTACAGGTACCACACTTATGGGGACTCCACTCTAGGACACTTTGTTAGAGGAGGATGTGCACTAAAAAGGCCCACATGTAAAAGTAGAAGAGAAATCCATTCCACCATATGCATAAAGTCCAAAACATAGGAATACAAGAAATATATTTTTAAAAACAGTAACACAACACCTCCTAATTCACCAGATAATGACTGCAAAGACATCGAAGCAGGTGAAATACTAGATAAAGTATTCAAAAGAATGATTATAAAAATGATTAATGAATTCCAAGAAACTGAGGAAAAAGAGCTGAATGAATTAAGAAGTCAGTACAAAATACAAATGAAAAATCTAAGAAGGAGATAGATGTATTGAAAAAGAACCCAACAAACCTTTTGGAACAAAAAGATCCACTATATCAAATAAAATGTTCAGTTGAAAGTCTCTCTAATAGAGTAGATAATACTGAAGACAGAATTTTAGAGCTGAAAAACAAAGTTGGTAGCCTTAATTATTCATACAGTAATAAAGAAAAGAAAAATAAATAGCCATGACCAGAAAATCCAAGAACTCTGCAACATTAAGAGACCAAATTTAAGAATCACTGGAATTTAAGAGGGTTATGAGATATGGCTAATGGCATAAATAACTTCTTCAAGGAAATCGTAATAGAAAAATTTCCAGACTTTGAGAATGAGATGAACATTCAGATATAGGAATCATTAAGAACTCCTAATAGATAAGATTAAAAAGAAACAATAAAAATTCCTAGTATAGAAGCAAGGATAGAATTTTAAAAGCCTCAAGAAAAAATATCAGGTAACATTTAGAGAGAGGCCAATCATGATTATTTCTGATTTCTCAACACAAACTTTAAAATCCAGGAGGTCATGGAATGATGTTCCAAGTCCTGAAAGAAAAAACTTTCAACCAAGATTGCTATATCTGCAAAGCTATGCTTCAGAATTATAGAAGAAATGAAAACCATCCAAGATAACAAGAAACTAAAAGAATTCATGACTGCTAAGCCAGCACTTCAGAGAAACCTTACAGAAATACTTACTGCAGAAGAAATAAAAACAAACACCAGAGCTCACAAAAACCCAATCTCCTTTGAGAATTAGCTAAGTGAATGATAAACAGGACCAAAGAAAACATTATCAATTAACCAAAATGGCAGAAATTAATAAACATCAACACAGGAGGTGAGGGAGAGGGGCTGACCTCACAAAGAGACACACAGGAGGTGAGGGAGAGGGGCTGACCTCACCAAGAGACACACAGGAGGTGAGGGAGAGGGGCTGACCTGACCAAGAGACACACAGGAGGTGAGGGAGAGGGGCTGACCTGACCAAGAGACACACAGGAGGTGAGGGAGCAGGACTGTCTTGACCAAGAGACACACAGGAGGTGAGGGAGAGGGGCTGACCTCACAAAGAGACACACAGGAGGTGAGGGAGAGGGGCTGACCTGACCAAGAGACACACAGGAGGTGAGGGAGAGGGGCTGACCTGACCAAGAGACACACAGGAGGTGAGGGAGAGGGCTGACCTGACCAAGAGACACACAGGAGGTGAGGGAG